TATGGACTCCATGACTTTGGACAGCACAGGAAGGAGGGTTACAGGGCGGTAGTTAGCGGAATCGCTACGGCAACCGCCTTTATCACAGATGAAGTGTCGGCACGCATACATAAGCCTCAGTTGGCATTTGCCAACGGTTTGATAAGAGTCTACAGCGATCAAAGTAAGACCTGGCATGAGATTATGAAAACCGTCACTAGCCCACTGGGGCACATAGGCACCGTTAGGTTCTCTGGAAGGGGACCCCGAGATCATGGTAACCGGTGGTTAGAGACACTGAGTGATAGAGCTGTGTCGCAAACGTGGCGCTCATGCATCTACTCAATATTCTCGCGACCCTAGTTAATATGAATCCTCTGTCTTCACTGTTACCGTGCTCTCAACATTCGAATCTGCATTCAGGTCTTTTATGCAAATGGGCAACTAAAACCGGCGCATGAAAATGCAAGGAGGTAGCTGCAATTGTAGAAAGTCAATATTCTCTGGTTTTGATTGAACCTGACAACGTATCACCACAACTCGCTCTGTCGCTATTTCACATCCAACACAACTCGCTATTTTTGTCTGACAATTTTGAAATCTAAACTACTGACCTCGAAAATGATTTCATTCTGGATGATAAATAACATTTCTGCAAACCCTAATCACTCTGGCGAGTCAAATAGCTGGGCCATGAAGCGGACTGTTTCTGTATATTCAACAAAAGCGAGTAAAATGAAGAGAAAAAAAATAAATTAATCCAGGAACTCGTTCCTGGTTTGACTGAAGTATTTCGTCAACAATGAGCTATGTCAGTACGATATTCTGATTCACTAACTGGTGCTTTAGACGCTATTAATGAGGTTTTACAGCATTCCATGTTTAGCAGTCCTCTTTTTTTCAAGTGGTGGTGGCCCTGTGATAGTGTCACCAAATTATCACTCCAGAGGACGTGTGTTCGAATCCCACCACCACCGTTTGATTTTCCTCATTGTGTGTTGTATGACAGCTTGATTTGTCGCTTCTCTCTTCCTGAAAATTGTAGCATTATGTATTCAACATAAAGAAAGAAAAATGAAAAATACAAGTATTTTTCCGAACGTTCTGGATTCAACAACTGATGTTGTTTGCAAATTTGGCCAGAATCTGGAATACGGTGACAAAATCTAAAGGTTCACTATCACTTCAAAGAATACAACGCCATTCATCCATGGTCGATTGAGAATGGTAATAAATTCAATTCATTGGAATGTAAGATCACACCACAACGGAAACTGTTTTGGGACGTCCAAAAAACGATACAGGGACTGCAATGAATAGGGTTATTCTCTATTCAGGATCTCTGAATTCAGGGAGACTTGGTCAACCATCCATATCCTTCGGTGTTCCCATGGTCGCTCAGCGTCCACCTCAGAATATCACTAAAAAAACTGCCGGTGTCATTCCTTTGTCATCAGAGTGTGCATTACTCGGAGTTCTCTACCATCTCACGTTCTTTGTGCGCCCATAACTGATTCATTCAGGTAGAGACTTGAACTATAAGTGGTATCTTTAAAACTCCAATATCTACAAAGGTACAGGGTTATTTATCTTTCTTGGTCCGCACATTCAGCTTATCAGTGCCAAAACTCCAGTGGACAAGAAAGCAACAGCTTGTAGGCGGCTTTTCTCATATCCATCACCTGCTGCCTACCACTAGTAATACTAACACAACGCTTCAGTACAGCTCATCAGCTAAAGACCGCGGAATCTATCAGTTCTTTTTCATTTAGTTTACTCAACGAATGTTTTAGCATTTTTACGTACCAACCTCGCACATTCTGTTGCTCTTAGTGAAGTTAGATGGGTTAATCGCTAGATCTTGAACGGCCAAAATCTCTGGCGTTTTATGATGCATTATTCATGATTGACGGCGATATGATAGATAATCCCGACTCTCCTGTTTCGTTCTTTACTTTCTACGTTTTCTAGTAATTATCTAACAGGTGTTTTTGCCAGAATTCAAAACAGTGCCCACGTACCTGAAGTCGAATATAGTCCGAATATATCTTGAACCCGAACAGATTTCCTCAATCTTTGCCTGTTGCAGCTTGAGTTCGTTACAATCCGACAGAACCCGTCTGAAAGCAACTACTTCATCCATTTACTGTTAGAATTCTGATCGTTACATCAAAATGAGTTTCTTTCTTGACGGCAGTAAGCAAACGCATTATCCTCTGATGCACTGTATTCTGGTCTCTGAACGCATTGTTTGCCATTATTCACTGTGACAAAACACAATGGGGAAGAGTGCTGATAGTGGATTTGTCCAAACCACTTTCTCCAGCACGCCGAGCCTCGATTTTTTCGGTCCGAAGTTCACTCCTCTCCCGCCAATCTGACACATTTGCCACATCCATACGTGGGTTCAACTCCCACCGAGGCTACTGAACTTTTCACAATCGCCATACACAAATCAACTCTGTCAAACATCCATTTGCACATCTGACATACAATCCGACTTTTCTTCATCGCCTCGATTAGGAAGCGTCTGTAGTCAAACAGTTAAGGCCACCAAATCATCGGCATAGAAATCGTGTGTTCGAATTCGGTCACCACCGCCCATCTTTCTCATTTTTCGTATTATCTTAGGAGGTCTGAAATCGGCCGATGTAATAATAGTGCTTCCAGAATATCTCTGTTAAACAAATATGAGAAAGTACAGGTTGCGAGAACAACCGCGGCGTATCTCGAAAATCAATATTTGTTTCGAATCCGTCCGTAGGTGTATATTGCGTGCATGCTTTATCTAAACCAATAAATCAGCTTCACAATAATGTTTGACTTCAACACTTTTCTTTGGTGTTTGTCAAATTTTCCCATCCTCAATACTAGTCTCGTCACGATGCAATTGTGGCCGCCAAACGTGAAGCTCGCGTTGTTCGAGCCGAACGCGAAGCAACCGAGGCCGAAGCTAGGTTGGCTCGGCAAGCATCTAAGTCCCTCAATACCCCCGATCGATCTCAAATGTCTGCCGCACCCATCCACTCACCTTCTCCAAGCAACGACTCTGAACCCTCCAGTCCGGTCTCACAAGAGGCCGAAGAGCTACGACAACGTCTTCTAGCAAAAATGCTCAAACGTCGAGAGGATATGCTTCGTGACGTGTTGTTGAAGGTAATACACCTGTTTTGTTTATGTTCGTACAATAAGCCCCTACGACGGAAGGTATTTTCCATTTTTTATGGTAATTCTGCCCACTAACTAACAAGTGGAAGGAAGCATTGTTTAATTCTTCTTAGGTAGATTTGAGAACAGGCGTACTCTGTTGTGAGATCAAGATTCCAGAATTCGCTCACCATCAGGTTGTTTGTTTTGACTCTATGTCATCGACTCGTATTACTCGAGCACAGTGTCTGAATCTTCACACCTGTGATGCGTTCAAGTCTCATCGGGAGTTTTGATTGAACTTGATGCTGGCCCGCTAACATCATCATTGTACAACGAAATACAGTGAAGTGAACTTCACCGATCGCTGACAAGCTCAAAAGTGGGAATTTGTAAGATGGCCGGTTAGTGAGCCTATTCTAAGCGGACGGGAGACAAAAGTGAACATTAGTAGTCAATACATAAAGGATAAACTGTGCATGTACACCTTTTCAATCGCTGTGGTATGGTAAGAAGTGAGAAGCGCACACCACTGTTGTCAGTTCGATGTCCTCGATCAACCCCTCGCAGAGTATTTTGGACCCCAACATTACAGACGGGAAGTATCTTTTCTACCTATTCTTTCAATGAATTCCTTCATGCTTCGTTTCCGCGTCATCTGTGGACTTCCACATGATTTCCCCCAGCCTAGAACAACAACGGCGAATTAGGTGATAGCTGGTCGTGCGCAGTACGTGTCCAATTCTGTGAAGCCTGCTAACCTGAAGTCGATGTGATAACGAATTCTCCACTGAATACCAAATACTCGTCGGTTTACCTCGGTGTTGCTTACCCGCTCTCACTATCCAACTTGCCCCAAACTACGTAAGCATTGCCAGTCGAGGACTTCCACGCGTAATTTTAGAGTCCCTCGATCATGAAGCAGAACTGACAGCACCGTAGTGCAGTATGTGCAGCCTTTCAGTTTCGAGGAAATATCACGTCGTTGCCAAAGATACTTCGGCTTTGCCTACATTACTCCCATCTTGAAATTGTGTGCGGTTAAATCTCCTACTATTTTATTGCCACTTGTCAAGCAAATATCTATGAAGGAGACGTAACCCACCTTAACTGTTTCCCGATAAACCGTTGGAGCCGTGGTAGACGACACTCGGACTTGTAGCATCCTTTTGTACTTTGATCGTGTAAACTACATAACGACGTCCTGCGTCCTCCATATAATTGAACAGACAAATGATGTCATCATCATAATCTAAATAGCTCCGCTTTGCTCCAGGTGCCTATTTAATATCAACATTTTTAGATTACTCTTTTTTTTTGATAAATAGAAGAAAGATGATGGGCGAAAGTATGGAACCTTGGGGAACACCGGCGTTTACAAGGAATGGCCGAGATAGGACCTCATCTACTCGGACGGAGATGGTTCGCTTACTGCGGAAACGCGGAGGTCACGATACTAGAGACGAGTTTTTCTTATAGCACACCTAAGTGTGATGAACAGCAGACGGGGCGAATCTCATAGTCACGAGGACCTGCAGTTCAATTGCGGAAACCAGTAACCTAAGCCCCGGAACGATCTGCAATTTCCCCCAGGATAAAGAGATAAGCTTCCCGACTCGGGAATGTAGTCGGTAAGAGAATCACTCACTCCCCATCTCAGAAGAAAGGCTGCTTTTCATTCTTCAGCGATGGCGGTGGTGGCCCAGTGGTAACGTCACCAATTATCACCCCGGAGGACGAGTGTTCGAATCCCACCAC